CACAGTGCTCTCTGGATGTAGGTGAACTACAACTCCCAAACTCAAGGTCAATGCCCACCAAACCCTTCTAGCATTTTCTGTTGGTCATCGGAGTTCTGTGTGCCAAGTTTGGTTCAATCTCATTGTTGGTGGAGCTCAGAATGCTCTTTGATCGTAGGTGAACTATAAAACCCAGCAACTACAATACCCAGATGACAAAACCAATGGTGTGATGTTCACTCCTTGGGTTAATAGATGTCTTGTGGCCAAATTTGGCGGCAATTCGTCCAGTAGTTTTTGAGTTATGTTAATCCCACAAACGAACATTAAATTTTTATTTATATAGATGGTCTGAAACATTTGGAATGCCAAAAGTTCTTATTCTAGGCATTGTATATGCAACTGAAAGAAGCAGACCTGCCCCCTTCCGTCCCTGCTTTTCTCTTGCTATTTGCATTCAGCTGTATTTACTGTAGATCTGTAAGACTCTCAAGCAAGGAGCTTGTTGTGCTATGAATGCTCTCTCTCTCTCATTTTGCAAAGTACTGTGCATGCTGATGGACCTCCACCCACCAAAGGAAGCAAGTTTGCAATGTATTTGTGCAAAGGGTCAACGCAGAAAATAGATTATGACACTTGCTGTACATTTTTATTTATATTGCTCCTTGTTCTGTGCTTGGTGGAAGATGTCAAAGCAGAGCCCTCAGTGACCTCTTTTGCACTTGCTACAACTGTGATATGGTGTAACTATGTGCCACATTGCCCAGTCCACACCGTTCTCGGGACCATCAGCAGAAGCGGTGTCCAAAATGGTTGTGATGTGTTCACCATCCCCGACTTGCTGGAGTTCCTCGTCACATTATCTGGCCTTAGAGATAAGGGGTTTTTCAGAGAACTGACTACCGCATTCACTTGAATTCTACATCAGAGAAAAAGTGACTCTGCTCCTCCCCCTTGTTTTTCCTATTTCCATGAAGCCAGAGAAGTCTTGGCATCAGACTATTAGGCGATACAGGCAGCCCCCCACATTTGCACAGGACCCTCGTGAAAGTGAAAAATTGTAAATAAAAATATTGCCATTTTTTTAAACGTGAGAGAACACCTCTGTAGGAATCTCTAGGTTCTCCAACCTTACTTTATGATCAACTTCTAGCAGTGATTGATCATAGGTTTGTACTAGAGGACCTAGAAATCCCTAGAGCAGTGGTTCTCAACCTTCCTATTGCCACGACCCCTTAGTACAGGTCCTCATGTTGTGGTGACCCCCAACCATAACGTTATTTTCGTTGCTACTTCACAACTGTAATTTTGCTACTGTTACTAATCGTAATGCAAATATCTAATATGCAGGATGTATTTTCAGTCACTGGACCAAATTTGGCACAAATACCCGATATGCCCAAAATTTGAAAACTGGTGGGGTTGGGGGTGATTGATTTTGTCATTTGGTAATGCTGGAGTTGCTGGGATTTATAGTTCGCCTTAAATCAAAGAGCCTTCTGAACTCCATCAATGATGGAATTGAATCAAACATGGCACACAGAATTCCCATGACCAAGAGAAAATACTGGGAAGGTCTGGTGGACCTTGAGTTTTTGGAGTTGTAGTTCACATACATCCAGTGAACACTGTCGACTCCAGCAATGATGGATCAGGACAAATACTCAATATGTCCAAATGTGAACACTGGTAGAGTTTGGAGAAAATAGACCTTACAATTTGGAAGTTGTAGTTGTTGGGATTTATAGTTCACCCACAATTAAATAGCGTTCTGAACCCCATCAACGATAGAATTGGACCAAACTTTCCACACAGAACCCCCATGACCAATAGAAAATACTATGTTTTCCAATGGCCTTTGGCAACCCCTCTGAAACCCCACCACTATTCAAATTTGGGCATATCGGGTATTTGTGCCAAATTTGGTCCAGTGAATGAAAATACATCCTGCATATTGGACATTTATATTATGGGTTCATAACAGTAGCGAAATTGCTGTAATGATATAGCAAGAAAAAGAATGTTATGGTTGGGGGTCACCACAACATGAGGAACTGTATTAAGGGGCTGCGGCATTAGGATGGTTGAGAACCACTGCAATAACATATGAATATGTTGATTTTTTCTGCATTTATTTATTTATTTACACTATTTCTATCCCGCCCATATCAGCTCAAAGGCAACTCAGGGCAGCATACAAAGTCGGCACAATTCGATGCCATATATAAAATACATACATTGATAAAAAGCAAAAAAGAAATATTACAGTACATTTAGAAACATAAAAACAATGAATAATAAAAATTTTAAAAACTATGTCCTCTCGTTCAAATCCTCATCCGTTCCGTCGTCTTGACCGTTCCTGGATCATTTTCCAATTCAAGTTTGTCGATTTATCCTGAGGTTCCAAATGCTTGCTTGAAGAGCCAAGTTTTCACTCTTTTTCGAAAGGTCAGGAGGGAGGGGGCTGATCTAATATCCCTAGGCAGAGAGTTCCACAGCCTATTTGTTCCTATGTGTGAACAGGAAGCTTAGGAGCTTAGCCACAGGGAAGAGGGAGCAAGCTTGTTTTCTGCTTCCCTGGAGACTAGGACGCGAAACAATGGCTTCAAACTACAAGAGAGGAGATTCCATCTGAACATGAGGAAGAACTTCCTGACTGTGAGAGCCGTTCAGCAGTGGAACTCTCTGCCTGGGACTGTGGTGGAGGCTCCTTCTTTGGAAGCTTTTAAACAGAGGCTGGATGGCCATCTGTCAGGGGTGCTTTGAATGCAATATTCCTGCTTCTTGGCAGGGGGTTGGACTGGATGGCCCATGAGGTCTCTTCCAACTCTTTGATTCTATGATTCTATGATGTGAGGACTAGAAGCTTCAGACTTCCCCAGGCATCTAGCCAGTTGCGTCTTATTCTTGGCCTATCTCCCAACTCTCTCCCACACATCCCTCTCCAGGACATTTGGGGAGATACCCAACTCTTGTACTGGCTTTGAAGCTTCGTGCATAGCATGATTGCATACACGCAGGCATGCATGCATGCAAGGACTGCTCCCCCCCCCCCCCCCCCCCCCCCGCATGACATTCAGCCTCCTGGCTCTGCCTTGTCACCCACATTGCCCAAACCGTCAGCACTGATATCTGATAAAGTCTTATCAGAGCTGTCCAGCACTGCTAGCTCAGAACTGGCTGGCTGCAGTTTCAGCACCACCCCAAAAGCAATGTGACATGGTGTACAGCTCAAGATGTTCGAGAGGCCCAGAGAAGGATCTGGTTTGTAAAACCTTGTTTGGACCTTCGTGGATCTATAGATCCAAGGGAAATTTAAACCTTTTAGCATAAAATAACATCAAATAGAAGATACAGTCATCTGGGGCTTGTCCAGGATTGTTTCTGAGCCTTGCAAATTAAAAGACAACATCATCTTTTCTTGTTCTATAACTCCCATAATTCCTCACCACTGTCCATGATGTTTGAGGACAATGGGGAGTGGAGTCTAAGTACATTACATATGCAACACAATTTTTGTTCCTGGCTTATAAATGTCATTTCCTAATTGGTTCTATCATAAAACATGGAAAAGTTTATTAAGGTGCACAAACACGGTTTTTGCAGAACATGCTGCAGCACATTTTGCTATAGTTTTTCAGTGAATGTCTTTCGGTCAGCAAGTTCAGCAGCTCAGCGATTTAACCTTCTGAGCCACCAGGGGCTCCGATAATATTGTAAGTGTATTATAATCTAAATAAATAAAAATGTAATGTTCAATGTATTGTCGAAGGCTTTCATGGCCAGAATCACTGGGTTGTAGGTTTTTTTGGGCTATATGGCCATGTTCTAGAAGCATTCTCTCCTGACATTTCGCCTTCATCTATTATGGCAAGCATCCTCAGAGGTTGTGAGGACCTCCCCATTTTCATGGTTTCCTCCTTTCTGTTGAAATTGTCCACAAATTGCTTAGCCACACATACACATACTTGAGTTTTGTATTTTTGAAATATTGGTGGGTATGAAAATAGGAGGATAAACTCATTTACCCAACTCACAAGAGAATACTGCACACAAATGAAAGTCAAATGAGGCTTGGAGGAGGCAAAGGTCTCTTGGGGCCTTTTCCTATAATCAGGCAATGTCTTCCTCTGGTTTATCTTCTGCACTCTTCTGTAATGCAGAGCAACAAGTGAGCACATCATGTCCCGGCTTGGGAAATAAGATTTGGCAACGTCAAGAGACTCTGTTGTTCAACAAACACGTATTACCCCAAAGAAAAATATTAAATAATTATGCATAGGGTACTAGTAAGGCAATAATAACCTGTGTTTGCTTACATTTCCAAACCTACTACATTGTACAAAGTACCCAGCCAATAGGAGTAGATAAAAAAAAGAAGAATTTGTGGGTTCACAATGCTTAGGGAAAAGTTAGGGTGCCGGGGGGAAAAGTCTTTTGAAGTGTTCCATGTCTGAAAAGATTTGTGAATCGTTGATCTAGAGCACACCAGTTTGGGGAGGGCTATTCAAGAGAGATGAGAAAGAAGCATGGATGGGTGAGAACTGAAGAACAGCAGCTTTGGCAGCTAATACACTGACAGATTTTCCCTCAAAGGCAAATGGAAAAGCAGCATTATTTTCAAAAGTTGTAGCATGTCAGCTATTGCTCTGGTTGACCTATTTGACATCCCTTTCTGGATAGAAATTCAGATGCCCGACAATTGTGTTGCAAATATTACTGATATGTCCACAGCTGCAAATCAATGAGATAGGCCTTTCGGTTCCGCCACATGAGACTATTTACTGTTATTTTAAATATGTAAACACAGAAAGGAAGATGAGAAGAAGGGCATATGGGTATGTAAGGATTTCTTCACCCAACCTATTTACAAATCCTCTATGATCGCTTCTTGTGGTCAGCAGTAATGTAAAGTCTGACGGCCATCAAATAATGTAAAGTAAAATAGACTAAAATAAATACATGTAGCTACAGCTGCACCTCTTGCATAGCATGAAAGGCTGTGCAAAAGATATCTTGTACTCAGGAACTCTACTAGTGAGAGATAAGACTGCAAAAGATATTACAGATTGCTGACTTCCACTTTTTTGTTTTTAATACTTGTACAAGCCTAGCCCCTCATTTCTTTCTATAGTTTTGGGATGAAATCTGGGAATGTGGGGTTCCGTACCAGACATCGTGCAACACATTGTACTTGTCGAGACCTGGGTGCAAACATCAGAACTTGAAGTCTGTGTTTCATTTCCCAATCCACACACTAGAGCTTTCCAACTGGAGAGCATCCTTTTCCTTGGGATCATATGGGAAATATATGTCTTTCCACCTCTTTCCCTCTTTCTGTCCTTCATCCTTCTTGCTAGTCCCTTTTGACAGAGGCGGAGACAGCACTTGGGTGGTGGTTGCTGTGTCATTTTTTTCTTTTTTTGGCTGTTAGTCCCCTCCTTGTTTGTTGAGCTCTCTTTCTGCCATCAATACAGCCCAGGATCTTGTGGGGAGGACTCAACTTAGAGGCAGATCAACTGAAAATTGTTCTCCACTGCCATCTCAGCCTTTTTTTCCTGATCAACCAAAGGAGCAAGAGTCATCCAGAAAGTTATCAAACTTTGGGCTCCACATCAGGTCAGTTTCATTCAATGGACACCCCAGATCTGGTGTATTAAAGGTTGTTACTGTTGACTTGTCTTTGGGTTAGATAGGAAGAGCTAAGAATAGAGATAAAAAAATGGGAAGAGAGAAATGGGAATTCTGTTTTTTTAAAGGGTGTAAAAGTTGAGATAATACCATGACTGGGTCAGGAGAAGTACCAAAAAGAAATTTTGGAGCTCATCTACTTGAACGTCAACTCCTCTACTCTGACTGCCCTTCTCACTTCAGTTGTGTTGTTGAAATGTACTATTGTTGACATGGGAGAACCCTGCTCTTAAGGTCTAAGATGGAGCTTCGGCATTAAAAACAACTTTCAAGGCTAAGCTCTGACTACTCTTCACTTTGGTTGATCTTTCATAAGTAGCATCATAAGTTGTGTAGATAGAGAAAGTGCAATGGGTAGTTAGGTATCCTATCTGCTGTCTCTTTCTTCAGATGGTGAAGTGTGTTGGAACTGGCAGCATCAAGTCCAAAGGCACCCATAACAGATGATTAGTTTGCAGAAGTTAAAACATCAAGTGATCACAACACAAACTAACTAGTACGGACGAGCAGGGCAGGATCTCATTTTGCATGAAAAGCTGTTTATGCTGTAGATTTCTATCATCTTGGGGATCTTTTTTTTTGGAAGCAAAGCAATTTGTAGACATCTTTAAAAATCTAAAAAGCGAAATGAATAAATGTGCTCACCACAACTTTTGTCAACGGAAGAAGAAATGCATAGATTACATGTATTTGACTTTAAAGTCCCGTTAGGTCAGTGGTTCTCAACCTTTCTAATGCCATGACCCCTTAATACAGTTCCTCATGTTGTGGTGATCCCCAACCATCACATTATTTTTGGTGCTATTTCATAACTATAATTTTGCTACTGTTGTGAATTGTAATGTAAATATCTGATATGCAGGACGTATCTTCTTTCACTGGACCAAGTTTAGCACAAATACCCAATATGCCCACATTTGAATACTGGTGGGGTTGGAAGGGGGATTGATTTTGTAATTTGGGAGTTATAGTTGCTGGGGTTCAATGATGCGATTGAACCAAATGTGGCCCACAGAACTCCCATGACCAACGGATATATACTCGAATGATTTGGTGGGCATTGACTTTGAGTTTGGGAGTTGTAGTTCACCTACATCCAGAGAGCACTGTGGATTCAAACTATGATGGATCTGGACCAAATTTGGCATGAATATTCCATATGCCCAAATGTGTACACTGGTGGAGTTTGGGGGAAATAGACTTGACATTTGGGAGTTGTACTTACTAGGATTTATAGTTCGCCTACAACAGGCCCGTAGCCAGGATTTCGTTTGGGGGGGGGGGGCTGAATTTTTTTAAGGGGGGGTTTCGGGGGGCTGAGTTTCGGGGGGGCTGAGTCTGAGTGAAAGAGGGTCTAGCCTAGCAAACCTTTTGTATCGTTACCCCAATACCCCCATGCATATGGGATATATTGAGTATGGTGATCAAATCATGATATGAATAAACATAACAGTTTAAATAATAAACCAGTAAGGCCTTTTTCGTGAACCACCATGAGAATTTCGGGGGGGGGGGGGCTGAAGCCCCTCAAGCCCCCCCCCCGACTACATGCCTGGCCTACAATCAAAGAGCATTCTGAACCCTACCAACAACAGAATTGGACCAAACTTCCCACACAGAGACCCCCATGACCAACAGAAAATCCTGTGTTTTCTGATGGTCTTTGGCGACCCCTCTGACACCCCCTTGCAACCCCCCCAGGGGTCCTGACCCCCAGGTTGAGAAACGCTGCGTTAGGTGGTCAAAGTTTTGATGATAGAAAATCACGTCAGGAGCAACATTAGGTGTGATGAAGATTACAATGCTGTATAGAATAGGTGCATTAATTTTTTTCTGGATTTACTATTGAAATGTACAGGGTTGAGTAAAGTTTGTTGAGTTTTCTTACTGATACTGGCACTGCAGAGTAAAACAAACCATCCCAAAACCGAGAAAAGAAAGTATTTCTCGCACCATCTTTGGGCACCTGAAATGCAAGTTTCTAAATACAAATCCACTTTTTTTGGGACAAAGAATGAAGTGAGAACCAAGAAGATAAATTGGAAAGTGATGTAGTCTGAAGAGCATTGGCTGCATGGGAAATGGGTGAGTAGCATAAATGAAAAATAGGAAAGCTGGCAAGCGGATTGACACCTCACAAATGTTGTATAGCACCTTAACTCTTAAGAAATGTATTATAGCACAAACTATCACAGGCTGTAGCCTAAGTCAACATAGGCAAGGAGTGTGTCACGCAGAATTTTTGGTATTTAGATATACTATAAATGGTTGGAGTGTTCTGTACATTTATTGCTGATTTCTTGAAGTTGTTTTTGACTTATGGCCACCTAAGACAACCCTTTCATGGGGCTTTCTTGGGAAGAAAAGAGGGTGATTTGCCGAAGTGGTTTTCCATGGCTAAGGCCCCTTCCACACAGCTGTATAAAATCCACATTGAACTAGATTAAATGGCAGTGTGGACTCAATTATCTAACCCAGTTCAAAACGGATATTGTAGATTATCTTCCTTGATATTCTGGGTTATATGACTGTGTTGAAGGGCCACCAGTGGAAATTCAGACTCTGGTCTAACCCAACACTCAAATCATTACACTACGTTGGCTCTCATAGACATGCCTGAGATTCTAGATATCAATTCATGTGTAGTCGTACATGTATGCATAAATTCTACTGTGTATATGACCCCATGTAGTTGAGTAGATGGAACTTGTGCTCTGACTCACCTAAATGATAGTTGGCTGGGGAAAATTGGACTAGACCATGTTGGAATAAACCATAGTTCAGAATGACAATCTTATAGGGCAAATTGGTATTTTGATAGCCATATATAATATGCTCAGGAGTAAAAGTTGAGAGAAAGTACTTCACTAGTAAGTTAATGGCGAAGGCAACATTCAAAATGGAGACTTCCCACTGCACACATTTTGCAGCGACAGGGCACCAAATATGGAAGCATTGCAATACACACACACACATACATGCAAGGACAGAAAGGTTTCTGCAAAACAAGGGAATAGCAAATATGAAAGTTGATAGGGAAAGTAGTCATAAATGGGTGGCAAAACACTAGCAAGTCAAACATACCTCAAGAAACAAAACCCATCAACAAGGAAATACATCAACAGTAAAGATGAAGGCATGGGAAGGCAAAGAGTATATCTCTTGACAGGTAACAATAAAATAAAATATAATTTAAGGGTGCAGGCTGGGGTGGCTTTCTGTGAATCTTTCTTTCCCCTCCATAACTTCAGATTCCAGAAGCAAATGCATTTGACGCTTGTTCAGTTCTTGATAACGGGACATTCTGGAACGGTGTCTGAAAAATGGCATTTACTACACAGTGGGAGTGGGCTGCCTTTTCAATTCCTGTTGATGAGACTCCCAAGTTGTAGGTTGAGCATCTCTTATACAGAATCCCAAAATCCACAAAACTCCAAAATCCACAATTGACTACATAAGTGGCTGAGACAGTGGTACCTTTGCTTTCTTGATGCTTCAGCGTACACAAACTTTGTTTCATGGACAGAGAGAAAAATAAAGTGTCATCTAAAAGTCAGCCTCTGTGTATAAGGTGTATATGAAATATCCATGAATGTTGTGTTTAGACTTGGGTGCCATCTCGAAGATATCTCAAGGCACATCTGTGCAAATACAGGCATTCCAAAATCCCCCCAAATCCAAATCCGGGCCCTAAGCACTTTGGATAAGAGATACTCCATCTGGATCTCCAGCAAAACATATAGTCAGGAACTCTCCCAAGTCATTTGCTCTTTAGTCGCTGGTTTACTTTCTGCCTAGAATCATAGAATCATAGAATCAAAGAGTTGGAAGAGACCTCATGGGCCATCCAGTCCAACCCCCTGCCAAGAAGCAGGAATATTGCATTCAAAGCACCCCTGACAGATGGCCATCCAGCCTCTGTTTAAAAGCTTCCACACTCCGGGGCAGAGAGTTCCACTGCTGAACGGCTCTCACAGTCAGGAAGTTCTTCCTCATGTTCAGATGGAATCTCCTTTCTTGTAGTTTGAAGCCATTGTTTTGCGTCCTAGTCTCCAGGGAAGCAGAAAACAAGCTTGCTCCCTCCTCCCTGTGGCTTCCTCTCACATATTTATACATGGCTATCATATCTCCTCTCAGCCTTCTCTTCTTCAGGCTAAACATGCCCAGCTCCTTCAGCCGCTCCTCATAGGGCTTGTTCTCCAGACCCTTGATCATTTTAGTCGCCCTCCTCTGGACACATTCCAGCTTGTCAGTATCTCTCTTGAATTGTGGTGCCCAGAATTGGCTCTTGGGTTTTCTGGGAGGGATCCGTTTTCTTGCAAAGTGGCCTGTGAAAGAAGCAACGAGTCTGAAGACAATCTGGTCTCATGGTAGGAAGCGTCTCTGGTCTGTTTCAAGGTAGCTCAACATTGCTGCTTCTCGTTCCATGGCCCGGGTGCCCTGATAAAAAATATATACCCGATAGATAAGTATTTGAAGACAGAGGCGCTAATGATAACACTCTACATAATAATAGCTGCGCCCCCTTCTTTCCACATTTTAAGGAACAGAGTGGGATGGTGAATTGGCATAACAGCAACTGTAATTTGGGTTGAGATTAAAATATGCAAAAGGAAATATAATTCCTGCTGATAAAGACTGGTGTGTGTGTACATCAGAGATAAGGTGATGTCTCTGATGGTTGCGGCCATGTTGTTGCTTTGAGGTATTTCAGAGATGGGGGGAGTATGTTGTTGTCTAGGGTCCAAGGTATAAATGTTGTTTTGGTTTCCTTGGGATGTAGATCAGATATGTCAAACTCATTTTCATGAATGATCACACGGTCTTATGTTTGCCTTCAATGGGCCATTGAATCCACGGACAAAAAAATTATGGACACAGAGGGCCAACTATATTTTTATGTAGTGGTGAGTGGATGCTCTTTAGTT